AGAAGATATTTTGAAGAATGTGGGTAACCAAACAGTTGCTGGTCCCCACTGACTCTAATAGTAGGAAAAAAAATATGAAAGTCACTGGGGACCAGCAACTGTTTAGTTTCCCACATTCTTCAAAATAACTTTTTATGTTCAACAGAAGAAAGAAACTCATTCAGGTTTAAAACAACTTGAGAGTGAGTAAATGATGACACAATTTTCATTTCTGGGTGAACTATTCCTTTAATGTTAATAAAATAAAACACAAAGAGAAAAATAACTAGTTGCTCTTGACTGAAGAACTTTAATACAGTTGCTAAAGTTCAGCAGTAATAAAATAACTTTTTCAGCAACTTTTCACTATGTATCTTTTTGCACCAAATAGTATTGATAACAGTATCGATAAGTACCGGTATCAATAAGCAGTATCGGTATCGATAAAATGTAAACGATACCCATCCCTAATTGGTGTGCTGAAAAACCACAATGTTAAAAACCAAAAGAGGTCTCTTTCAAAAAGCATCCTGTCCCGGGGCAGAAATGCTCCACCAGTCCGTCATCATCCGCTCACATCTGTCTTTGGTCTTGTGCCCAGACCACGTGCGCTCGTGGAACGGAGAGGTGTCTCGCGCGGTGGGAGGCGACGGTAATGCACGCTTGTGCACGGAAGGCTCTCCCTTGCTCTCGCCCCCTTCCGATGGTGATTTCACATAGCTGCCTTTCTCTCTCGTCCCCTGCAGCCCCCCCCTTCTGAGACCGCTACACGGCAGCTGTGGGGCTGCGAGGGTTCAGCACAGGGGTCAACGACTCGCAGCTATTCAACTCAAAACACCGCGGCCCAGAAAGAGAGGGCGGGATGCATTCAGCCACACAGGAGGCATGCTATTCTCTCGTGTTTTTCTCTTTCGCTTTCTGTTTTTTTTTCTCCCATCTTCTCAACCGCCGCGGAGCAGACAGGCTGGGTAAGTGTGTCTCTCCAACCAACGTGCGAGTGCTAGTCACAGCGGACGCTTTTGATCGCCTCACGTGTTTGCTTAGCTTTCAATTTACGCGGTTTCTGGGTCTGTTTGTGAGCGTGTCGTGAGCAGGACTGGACCTCGCTAGTGGTCATCTTCCTGCAGTCGCGGACCGGATGTAAACAACCATAGCTCAGCTGGTGCCTGTGGCTTCCTGTGGCCTGTCAGATAAGGAGACGCTAATCACAGACCACACACACACACACACACACACACACACACACATTGAGACCTGCGTGAACAGGTTTACAATGAGTGATGTCACTACTACGCAACTTGTACCTTATTTAATCGTTTTGAAATGTTATTTCATGCTGGGACAATGTTATTAAACTGTGAAGTTTTATCCTGGGTGATTTGTAAGGGAATTATCACTGTTGTTATTGCTTAGATTTGTTACAACTTGTTGGGGAGAGGTGTGCTAACACTTTTCTGAGCATTCTGAGTTGAATTTTATAAAACTGATGAAGAAATCCCACAGACTCGCATTGGAGGAGGGACCAGAATATAGTCATATCTAGAGACCAGAATATCAGAGACTTGAAGCTGCAGGACTCTTTTCACTTGGGCCAGTAAAAAAAAAAAATCTAGCAACCGCATAGCAACACACTGAAAACCACTCAGAACACTTTAGAAACTGCATAGCAACACACTAAAAACATTCAGAACACTGCAGCAAATGGATAGCAACACACTTAAATCCATTTAGAACTCTCAGGAAACCTCTTAGCAACACACTTAAACACTCAGAACACCATAGCAACTGCATAGCAATACAATTAAAACCATTTAGAACTCTCTAGAATACTCTTAAGTCCCCGATATACTCAAAACGAAGTTCTTTTTCGTTCTTCGTTTAGGGGTAAAACGAAGTTCGAAATGCGTGAGCAGCGGTATACTTTTAGCGAACATTCCGACACCGCCCACTCTGATGAAAGCGACGTTTAAATGAATATGTAAATATGTGCTGCGCGCTTCCTCTCAGTAACAAAATAAACAACAAAAATGGAGAGAACAGCAAGAATTTTTTTAAATAAAAAGCATCTGTTCATAGCAACATGTGTATGTTTGCACGAGCTCTGCAAATTAGCACTCCCGTGAAGTAACGTTACGTGTATTTACAGTGGGTACGGAAAGTATTCAGACCCCCTTAAATTTTTCACTCTGTTATATTGCAGCCATTTGCTAAAATCATTTAAGTTAATTCTTTATTCAATATATTGCTTGAAAGCAATCAGCAGTATTAAACATGAAAAACAGTGTCAGTGTCTCATATCATCAAAAGCAAAACTTAATTTGCTACTATAAAGTGGCTCTCCACTGCACGGACATCTCACCTCCAAGGATTCGACAGATTAAATGAACCCAGAGAAGAGTTCCGCGTGAAAGAAGGTGGAGCCTCAGCGCACACCTCCTATGACGTAATCGTCACGGACCAATGGTAGTATGAAGGTGTTTTGCAGCCGGAATGAACTTTTCCTAAAAGTTCGCTCTGGCAAGCCGTTTCGAACTCCCAGAACGAACTTTCTTTTGGCCGGATTTTGTTCGAAATGACGTCACATTAGTTCGTTCTTCGATTTCGCTTGAATTATATCAGGGCCATTAGCAACACACTAAAACACTCAGAACACCATAGCAACTGCATAGCAACACAATTAAAACCATTTAAAACTCTCTAGAAACCTCATAGTAACACACTAAAAAAAAGACTCAGAAAACTGTAGCAACTGCATAGTGATGCCCTGGCGACCACACAAACCGAGTTTTTGTATGGGCAAGCATAACTTTTTCAGAAAATTAAGAAATCACCTAGCAACCATATAGCAACACACTAAAAACCACTCAAAACACTTTAACAACAGCATAGCAACACACACACACAAAAACCCTCAGAAATGCCTAGCAACCTCATAGCAACTCACTTAGATAAGATAATTGCGACCTTTTAATCTCACAATTCTGACTTTTTCTCCCAATTGCGAGTTTACATTACAAAGTTCTGACTTTGTTCCTCAGAACTGCGTGATATAAACTCACAATTGAGAATTATAAAGTCAGAATTGAGAGATATAAAGTTAATTTTTTTCCTCAGAATTGGACTTTATAACTTGCAATTGTGATTTACATCTCACAATTCTGAGAAAAGAATTGCAAGAAAAAAGTCAGAATTGCAAGATAAACTTGCAATTGCGAGAAGAAAAGTCCGAATTTCAAGTTGGGTAATTCTGACTTGATTTCTCGCAATTGCAGATATAAACGTGCAATTCTAAGAGAAAAAGTCGAATTGCGAGATATAAACACGCAATTGTGAGAAAAAAGTCAGAATTGTGAGATAAAAAGTCGTAATTACCTTTTCTATTTTTTATTCAGTGGCGGAAACAGGCTTCCATACTGCCATGACATCAGTTGAGCTGAAGGAGAAAACCAAACTCAGAAGAAGACAGTTTATGCTAATGTCTGCTATAGCGCCCCTTGTGGCAACACTGAGAATGACACATTCCAGAATGCATCAAATCAAACTAAAAGTGTTTGTGTTTAATTCCTTTTTGTATTTTGTGCATCTCAACATCCTCTTTAAAGGATTAGTTCACTTCTGAATTAAAATTTCCTCATAATTTTCTCACCCCCATGTCATCCAAGATGTTCATGTCTTTCTTTTTTCAGTCAAAAAGAAATTAAGAAAATAAACAGGTTTATATAAGGTTAAAAAGTATATAAATTGTAATTTTTTAAGAAAATGAAAGATCGTTTCGCTAGAGAAGACCCTTCTTTCTCGTCTGGGATCGTGTAGAACACTTTGAAGCTGCACTGAAGCTGCAATTTGGACCTTCCACCCAGTGAACCCCACTGAAGTCCACTATATAGAGAAAAACCCTGGAATGTTTTCCTCAAAAACCTTAATTTCTTTTCGACTGAAGAAAGAAAGACATGAACATCTTGGATGACATGGGGGTGAGTAAATTATGAGGACATTTTAATTCAGAAGTGAACTAGTCCTTTAAGACGCACCAACTGTAATTGTTTAGTCTTCAGATGATTTTAGCAGCATCAGAACCATACCTGTGAACACGATGGACTTTGGCCTTTTTATTTTTTTGATTCAGTCCAGCTGCACGGGATACACCTACAGGCGTATTTACACACCTGCCTCGTATTCAGACGAACCCAGCACTGAATTCCCCCTGCGGCCAGAGCAGACGGGCCATTGTTTCTCTCTTTTGGTCGGCGGTCAGACTTTGTTTGCGAGCGAGGGGTTCTCCCCGTCCAAACAGAGCCTCTGAAATCAGCTCTTTTGAGACCTCGTGAACGGTGTTGTGGCTCTTGGCTGAGATTTGCTGGCAGACGAGACACAATGTGAAGGCCAAGGCCGGTTAGTGAGCTGCCAGATCGAGCCAGAAGCATTATTATTATTATTCACTTTGAAAATAAACAAGGACTTTTTTTGTTTTTTAGTACAGTAATCTGGCTCAGTGTAGTGTTTTGAAACCCCATGCATCAGTTATATGTTGTAGGCCCCTAATTTGTGTTGTGTTGTGTTGTGTGTGATAATGTGTGTTTGTAATTGCAGGTAGTTGGGGAATAGTTGAACACTGAGTAGAGAGGACCGCGTCCACCTCGAGCTCTCCAGAGCCATGCATAGCAAGAACCGTAAGTGTATTAACACCCGTCTCAGAGTCTTTTTTTCTTAAATGTTCTACATGTAGAATCCAGTATGTCAGTTTTAACTGGAAATATAAAATGAAGCAACATGATGAGTGTTGCAAAGATTTCAATGCGCCATTGAGCGTGTCGTTAAACTAGTTTCACAAACCTGCTGGAGTTTTAAGAAAGAGTCGTTTAATAGTATTTCTTGTTTAAACGGCAGCAAAAATAGTGTCAGAGTTTCTGTGAATCAGTTCAAACTGTCCATTGTAGTGAATAAACCCCAAAAATTTCAATGAGTTATCATGCAAAAATATTTAACAGAAGTGGCATTTTTTCATGTATTAAATGTTTTAGTAAGTTATATAGGTAAAACTTATGTAGGTAAATAGTGCTTAATAATAATAATAATAATAATAATAATATTTTATAGAATTAACGAAATATAATTTTTTATTATTTTATTTATGATTTATGATATGCATATAAATAAAAATGTATTTATTTAAAAACAATATTATAATAAACTAGTGTGTGGAAAAAGTGTACTAATAATAGTATATAATAAAAACAATAATGATAATAATAATAATAATAATAGTAATAATTTATTTTATTACACACCCCTAAATCGCATACTGTTATACTGGTGCAAATAAATCAAGATTTATATGCGCCAATATAAGAATGAAAACGTTATATTACAATAGTGAAAAACGGTGTGGAAAAGATGTCTTGATTATTTTTGACTAGATTTTATTGTATTATACTTGTTGTAAAAAATATGTAAAAAAAAAGTTAAAAATTAATATATTTTATTAATTTATATTTTATATATTATTTTTTATTTTACTACAACCGCTTTATCGCATACTGTTTTCATTTACATGTTACCACTTTCACTTTTAAAACTGTAGTTTCATTTTCAGCCCTGGATTCCTCAACATACATATTATTACAACTGAAAAAGAAACATCTCTTGAATATTGCAAGTGGGTTTGTTGGATATTAGGAGATGAACATAAATGTTCACACTTCAGAAATACTATTATTGAAAGTATTTTTTATGTACTATGATTTACCACTAATAATAAACTAATATTAATCTTTCATATTGTATAGAATAGATTTGTATATTATTTGGGACTCAGTCCATTAGTTTAGCTTCCTGTACAGAGGCTCCTGATCTTCTGACGGTTGTGTTCCTGTGTCAGAGAGGAGACACTGCTCACCCAGCAGCTCCAGGACCCCTCTAGTTCCTGTCAAGGCCAAGATGTCGGTGGGCCAGAGCGAGGTGGAGCCCCTTCCCTTCCGGGTTCCTTGCGATTACCCACACTCACGCTTCAGCAAGGCGCCGCTGGCCGTCTATCCACCCAAAGGAGCCCGAGCCAAGGCCTGGTGGGTAAAACACCCCCCTCCCCCCATCCATACATGCTTCCTCTGACAAACACTGGATTATTGGTGAAATTTAGTAGTGGTCGACCGATATGGGTTTTTTGACAGCCGATGCCGATATCTTGGAAAGCAGGGTGGCCGATATAAAGCTGATATAATTTTATTTATTTTCAGTTATATTTAAGAAATTTTAAATCATTTGAAAATGGATTAAAAATAATTGTATAAAATAAACATACTTATACTTTAGAAGACAAAGCATTTTTCACAAATAAATAAATATTTAATAAAAATCTAATTATAAAGGAAGTAAACACTGTAACCAACAGGGCACTCAGTATTCTTACACATACACATACATAATTTATTTCTGTGATGTAAAGCTGAATTTTCAGCATCATTACTCCAGTCTTCAGTGTCACGTGATCCTTCAGAAATCATTCTAATATGCTGATTTGCTGCTCAAGAAACATGATTATCATCTCATTATTTGTGGAAACTGTGGTGCATATTTCTCAGGATTCTTTGATAAATAGAAAGTAAAAAAAAAAAAGTTTTTGTCACTTTTGATTACTTTAATGCATTTCCTTTGAATTGTAATTCTGGAAATCCACTTCCGCTCTTTCCAATTTATGCCAATGCAAATTACAATTCGACCTCCTGTGGTTGTGACCAATTTTTCAATCCAAATTATAAACAGAAAGTAAAAAAAAAAAAAGTTTTTGTCACTTTTGATTACTTTAATGCATTTCCTTTGAATTGTAATTCTGGAAATCCACTTCCGCTCTTTCCAATTTATGCCAATGCAAATTACAATTCGACCTCCTGTGGTTGTGACCAATTTTTCAATTCAAATTCTCACTCATAAATTGAAAGGAAGTTGATTTGATTTTATGTTTGGAAATTGTACTCTATGCAAGTTCAAAACTTAAAATACGCGATCTGTTTTCTCTAGCGTGTCTTTACCTGTGGTGAGTCTGGAGAAGATGCCGTGTTTCAGCCGAACAGAGGGAGCGCACATCAAAGTCACCTCCACGTCTCCCACGGCGGGTTCTTCTCTTTCTTTCTCTTCCACGTCTTCCTCTCCATCTTCCGCTCCTCTCAAGTCCTCCTTGACGTCACCAGCATCTCACAAGAACCAGGAGAAGTTCCTGAACGGTCGCGGTCCTGTGACGCCTCGCTCCACCACGCCCCCCTCGCTGATTGACAGGCGGCCCAGCCCGTCACGGTCGCCCTTGGAGAAACGGCCCGCCCCCTCGCCCTCCCCACAGGACAGGAGACCCGCGGCCTCCACGTCTCCATCTCCATCCCCGTCGGACCGGAGACCGATAGTCCCTCCTTCTCCCCCAGACAAGAAGCATCAGAACGGAGCCAAAGGCGGGCGGCACCGGAGAGTGTCGGGTGAGTAGCAAACGCTTGTTTAATATATTTATACTTCGCTTTGAGGCGTGTTTTGAAACAAGAAGAAATGCATTTGCAGCACATTTTACTTCTGTTTTTTAGAACTTCAGCTGGAAATAATGTAGGAAACAGGAGACGGTGGGGCTTTGATATTATTGGTTAATATTATAATTTTTAATGATGTCATCAGAAAAGAAAAATAATTTAATCTAGTGGAATTTGCTTAATAAAATATAACTTCAATGAAAAAATGTATCCTAGTTTCTTTTTTAGTACTTTCGTTACTATCGTTAATTAAAACTATATATATATATATTAATTTAAATAAAAATATAAATATTATAAGTAAAACTTTAACATAAAAAGTGAAAATTAGAAATGAATGTGCCTAATAAAGTATAATTTTAATGAAAAATGTTTAGATAATTTTTTTAGTACTGTATGTTTTATGCGGTTATATGCAGTGTTTTTATTGTTTAGTTTAAAATATTAAAAATAATTTTTGTTAATTAATATATAGCTGTAATAAAATATAAATAATATAAGGAAAATTTAAGCAAATTCATTTCTAATTTTCATTTTTATGTTCAATAAAACAGAATTTTAATGAAAAATTGTTTTCCATGATATTTTTAGTACTGCATGTTTTATATGGTTATTAGCAGTGTTGTTTTAGTTAACTAAAACTAAAACTCTTTTTCGGTAACTAAAATAGAGCTGAAATAAAAATATACATAAATATTAGAAGGAAAATTTAAAAATAAAAATGTGAAATAATGCTTTGGCAACTAACTGAAATAAAATAAGCTGAAGTACTTAAAATTACTAAAACTAAAACTGACATAAAAAAAATTAAGGCTAAATAGAAAAAAATGAATGTAAAAAAAAATGAAAAGTGATTATTTGTGTATATTGTGTATATAGTCCTGAGTTTAGCCCTTCTGGATTCCCACACATTATTGCTTAAGTTTTGTTGTTGTTAAATTAATTTTATATACTTTTAAAAAAGAGGAAGGGAAAAATAAAACAAAGCAAAATGCTGAACAAAAATAAATAAATAAATAAATACATCCCATCACCTTTTTTTAAACCTGAGTTCTGTGGTTTATGGTTTGTAGGCTTGTCGTTCGTCTGGAAGCATGAATGTTTAGACGTAACTGGCCTCTGCTAACTGTTTAGCGTTGAGCGGAGGCCCGGTCAGTCGTCTCTCTCCGTATGTTGTTTACTGGGCTCTCGGCCCCACCGGAGGTTTGATTTATGCTGTGTAATTGGCTGTTCTCGGTCGCCAGATCCACAGTCACTCACGCTCTATTACAGAGAGTTTGAGCTAGTTTAAGTGTTTATGTGAGCTGCGGATAGCACCGTGAGCTGGACTGCATTGTTTTAATCATGATTCCCAGTAAAACGCCTCACTGTCTGCCATCTACATAGACGGCATCCTAAACGAGAAGAAACCTTGGAAATAACTAGAAATTACTGGAAATGATTAGAGACTCTTGCACAAAAGAAATGCACAAGATATTCAGTGAAAACTCACAATTGATTCCAGTGCATTACTGCATTTCATGAAATTAATGCATTGTACTTAACTAAAAATACATAATAAATAAATATGTTTTATATATGCAATGCATTTATTTGTTTA